AGCAAAAGAGAACAGAGACATAGATAGATACATATAAATGCATGACAAAAACGGGGGAGTGCTCATCTCTGGTGGAGTCTGATATGGCTGACACCACGGCTTCCAAGTCTCAAACCAGCAACAAAAAGGAGCGCTTGAACGGCGGTCATGAGCTGGATGCCGTTGGTGACGGTGGCGGTGATGGGGAGGCATGGAGCACGCTCAGCAAGGCGTTCAAGCAGGTGCAGGCCGTACTCGATCAGAATTGGGACCTGATCCAGAAGGTGAACGAGAATCACCGCTCTAAAATCCCTGACAATCTCGTCAAGAACGTGGCTTTAATCGGCGAGATCAACGGCAATATCTCCAAGGTGTAAGGGCAGCCACGAGACAAGACAAGGTGCAGAGCTCAGAGCTAACCGCACCTCGGCACTTCGCCGTGGGTGCATGACAGCCACAAGACAAGACAGGGTGCAGAGCTCAGAGCTCGCCACACCTCGGCTGCAGAGCTCAGAGCTAACCGCACCTCGGCACTTCGCCGTGGGTGCATGACAGCCACAATAGGCACGCCCTTATCTGATCGTTTGTCTGTATCAGAACACCCCTCCTCAAGGAACCTGCTCCGCCAGAACGCACCATGCGCATTTAATGCGGTTGCTCCGTTAGGGTACGTTACACTCACCTAAAACGTCTACTCCGTCAGAGCGCACCATATCACCATTATTGCATTGACTAGGCCACGTGGGTATGGACGAGCTACGTGGGTGTCTTGCCAAGTGGAAAAAAGCCTACAAGGTAAGACTCGATCGATAAATAGGCGGAACAAAAAAAGAGGAAAATTAATCGGAAAAATACTGACTTAAGCATCGGAGTTTCTCCCCGAGGACCAACCTCGGGATTTTGCAGGACCATTTGGAGCAGGACCAACTTGAAGTAGGACCTCAAGGATATTCAGCAACAACACAAGGTGCTGGGGATATATTCTGATTTGTCGGTGAACTTCTCGGACATTGTCCGTTGAAAGAGGAAGAAGAGAGATGAGGATATTCAGGGCATTGGTTCCTCAGCTAATTCATTTGAATGATGAGTTATTCGAGTAATTTCCATGAACCCTCAGCTTTGTCTTCATCTGTGTCTGTTTGGGTCAATTTGTGGTTGATTGATTAAATAAAATTTGGTTCAACTGTTATGTGTTCTTGAGTCAGGGACTGTTCTGTTTTATCTGGACTGAATTTATGATTGGACCAACTTAGTTTATTGTTATGGTGATGCTTGTGTCTCAATTATGATGCTTATCCTTATTTGGTGTTTGTTTTATCTCTTCCCTTTTTCCCCATTCTTTTGGGGTCT